CCCCAAAACCCCAAAACCCCAAGACTTGAATAATAATCTGCAAATTCACTTGGAAATGTAAGAATAGACAGAAATTATGTTTAGTATAATTATCTTTTAAACCTTTTAACTTTTGTAATTAATGTATGCATTTACTCTATTTCTAAGAATTCTGTTCTTGGGTTTCGCATTGCCAAGCTTATCAAATGAGTAAACTTGCCCTACTTAGATATTTCCAATTATGATAGGAGGAGCTATTGGTGACACCTATTTCGTGGATTTGAAAGAGGATAAGGAGAACAATTATTATGTAGCTGGCTTAACTAATGATGATTAGTATATGCAAGTGGCCCCCGATCTGTCTGATTACTACCCTTTTGTCATTAAAATAGGCATTGCAAATGTATAGCATTGGAATCATGTAATAGATATTAAAAATACTAGAGATCTGTCAATTTCCTATATACATAATGATCAAAATGGATTACTAGCAATGCTATTTGTTCAAGATAAAATTAATTTTTTGCTATTTGAAACAAAATATGGGAACACTATAGCGCATAATCAGATTCAGATTTACTAATTGCAGGATTAAATTACAAATGGAATCTTTCTAAACAAGAATCAATTTTAATTTATGGTTAGCCACAAGAGCGAGTACATGTCTAATCTTATTTATATCATGGATTACAACTAAAAATCATTTTAATTTACTTGACCAAAATTATTTAATACCTATGGATAAGCCAAGATTCTAAAAGACGACCCTTTATCTGGATTAGCATATTTTTTTGGTATTTGTTCTGTATCAGACTTAGAGACGCCATTTCTTGGATAAATCAATTATGAATAATAAATCGTTTTAGGTATTGCACTTTAAAATTCAATCTCTGTAGATGACTTTGATATTTTTACTGAATTGGATAATGAAAAGACAAGCATTATTCTTAGCATGAATGTAGTAGATCAACTGGAAGCTTCATATCAGATTGGGTGGGTTTAAATAAATCAAGGCATTGTTAATTTATAAACAACAAATTTGAACCTTCAAATTTCGATTCCAATATTCTTCATAGGTCTAAAGATATTAAGTTTAAACGAAGCATAAGTTTTAATCACAGATGGGAAAATGCTGTTTTTTATATTTATAACTAAGGAAAGTAGAACTATAACAGAAAATTAAATATTCCCAGGACTTTCAAGTAAAAATTCAATTTCTAAAGCATTTTATTCAAGTAGATTAGGATTTATTGCCATTGGAGGATTTATTTCACTATATAACTGTGACGAAATGAACCAGGACTTAAGGATAAATAATCAGGTTGGAATTTTGTATCCTTTTAATGAGACCTATAGAGCAGCAGGCAATGATTAACTTATTCTCCTAACAAATTAGCTTCTAGGATTTTAAAATGCTACATTAGATATATCTTAAGTTAATATTGAAGCTTAAGATTTAACTGATTCGTTCAAATATTTTACCACTGTAAAATGAAACATTGATTTGACTCCTCTTGATCGTGATTTGAAAGAATTAAGATTATTCGCTATAGAAAATCTTGAAAAGCAAAAATAAATTTACCAAATTGGCCAAGAATAACTTATCAACTTGTAATTATTCACTAATCCTTGCTTGGACTTATACTAATTTTTAATTTTATCAATAGAATTAGATGATTCAAATGGAATATTTACTTCTATTTAAAACTAGCTAGTTCACGTAGTTGGAAATTCATATTTAAAACTTGATACAAGTAATCTTTATTTCAAAGGAAAAGTAGCTAGACTTTATGTTACTGGTAAAATTAAAATCACCTCCTATTAAGTAGGTTATTTATTAGAGATTTATTTCTATCAGGACAAATGCTTAGCTGCCGCAAATTTCTAATACAGCTTAATTTAATACTAAAATTATACTATCTAAGATACTCTAGATAATAAAGATATATTTTAGATAAATTCAACTGACGCTTACGACAGCTAATGTGAATTCGAGCTTACTATTTATGGTATACAAGATTAAGTGATTACTACTTTTACCCAACAACTTCTATTCAAAGATTTATCATTTGACAATAAGTCTTGACACTAGATAAGTGATTTAAATGTAGATAATTTCTAACTAGGAAGTATCAATCTAAAAATCGATATATCAGTTTAATAAGTTCAATCATTTAATGATGATGGAATTTTCTCTTATGTAATAAAAAAGGTGAAGTCATTATCATTAGATTTAGAAATTTTAAGTTGCTCATAAAATAATTTAATTGGATAAAATTCTCAAGATTTAGGTTAAATAGAAATTGATTCATATCATGAATTTAGTCTGAATCTATGGAATTAAACTTATCCGGAATGTAATCATATGGTGATATATGACTTTTAAGGTTAAGTTCCTAGCTATATAACCCTTAATTTAAGCAAATAAATGATCCAGATAGATAAGCCATCTTCCATATATTTAGGCGAATACCAAGTGAGTATTAGAAGCTTTATGCCAGCTACTTAAGTATTAAAATATGGAAAGATTTAATTTACAATTGTGTAAAAAAACACCCTTATTTAAAAGTATTAAATATCTGAAGATTTTACAAGTTTTAATGATTACCTAAATTTTAAATCAATTGTGCTACTTTAAAACGAAACGTATAACTATATGATTTTCAAAGATTTGGAGAGTTAAATTTAGTCATAAAAATTGTTCAAGTTGACATTTGATTTTAATGAAGCTTCGAAATTTGTAAATATATAAAATAGTCAACTAGTCATTATACCTAATGAAAAAATAGAGGGAGAATACAAAATTTATTACTAAATCTTTAGGATTTAAGCAAATTTTTTAGTTTACTCTAGTTATTTTACAATCAATATTCTAAAGACAAATAGAAACTATGAAAGTAGTATTGGAAAAAATCAAATTAGCACAAAAAGTTCAATCAAAGAAAATAACTCTTTTAATTAAAAAAAAGATCTTGGAGTATTTATAAAATCTATCACATGAAATGGATAACTAACAGTTTAATTTGATTAATAATTGACTGGGATGAAAGAAGATTGTTAATATTTAAGTTTTGAAAAAGCAATTTCTATAGATGTTATCAAAGAAGAAACTAATATTACTTACAATATGATAATACTGAATTGCTAATACTTAAATAAATATAAGAGAATTTAATTAGAACTTAAATTACCTCAAAATTACGATGAAGAGAACTTATCATAATAATAGCATCTTACTGTTAAATTTCAATAAAATAAATATTTCTTAAACAAAGACTCCGGAGCCATAGTTTCACCGGGAAAGATTGTAACATCCAATTTTCCCAGTCAACTCTTAAGTAGCAATGAAGTAAAAATAGTGGGTGAATTATCAAATCAAGTGAAGTAAGTAATGATAGCAGCTATTGCAATAAGTTTAGCCCTTTAAATTCCACTTAAATTTTCAATGGACTAAGTCTGGAGAGTCATGAGTGTGCTTTAACTCATCGTCAATTTGCCATTTACTGGTGTACAACTCACTTCAAATGTGTATATTTGCTTCCAAACGCTTAAATAAATTTCGTCTTTCTAGTTTATTGATTAAGATACTATCAAGGATATAATTACAAAGCATATAGATAATTAAGAACCTGAAGGTATTGATTACTATACTAATCTAGATATCTTTTAAACAAATAAAATAATTGTGTTATTTGGCCTTAATTATTAAAGTTACGAAAGTTAAAATTTAGAGCATAGTTTAAGCAATAATCTGATAGATTTTATTGCCATTACAGTATGTTTATCATTTCTTATGCTGCTTTTGAGGTATTTTAGCTAGAGATCAAAGTAATATACACTATTTTATTAAAAATTTTAGGATAATTAAGTTTTTACAAGAATTAAAAGATGAGATCTGGGTTGGAGGATACCTTAGGCCATTAATTATTGGGTTTTTAGATCTAACCATAAATCTAACATTGTCCTTTTATTATTCTGTAAGTCATAGATATGTTTTAAGTATTTAGATTATCTTGGAATTAAATGGAAAAGTTTAAAAAGCACTCACCATAGCTTTCCTTTTAATCCTCTCGATTATTCCAGTTTTAGTGCTAATTTTCCTAAACAAAAATAGGACGCAGTTAAATCAAAGGACATTCTATTAAAAATATGGATCATTGTACTAAGGATTTTCTCCTAATAATAGCTACACAATTTATGCAGTTTTTATTTATTACACTAGAAGATAAATTTTTGTCATTTTTGGAATTTTACTTCGAGATTATACTGTGGTTCAACTTTTGATAAATATTCAGTTGACTCTAATAATAATATGCTTGAATTCATTTTTTATGCATTTGATTTCAAAAGCAGCTAATCTAAGTGAAATTATTAATGAAATATCATATCTTATCATCTAAAATTTGGTCTTATTATTATCAGGTGAAATCGTAGATGATATTTATTTGCGAAACTAGATTGGGCTTGCGATTTTGAGTTTAACTCTATTATTTATAGGAATTAATTTCACCATTGTAATGATTCAACTATCATTAAAATTGACAAACTAGCTGATTTAAACTTTAAAAAGATATAAATTGAGTAAAAGAGACAGTAGATAGATATTTTGTTAGAACTCAAAAGCCTATGAATAATCTCTTGATTTATGTCCAAGAGTCTCAAGTGATCATTCTTAGGAAGTAAATGATTTTATTATTTCAACCATAAAATAAAAAAAACCAAAGCATATAAAAAGAAATAAATATAAAAATAAATTTACTAAACTAGCAATTAGAAGGAAAATAAATTAATAAAAATAAGCATTAGATATGTAATTAAACACATAAGAGTTATGATTAAAATGGCTATCAATAGAATATCAATTTTATTATCTTAATTTATTGTAACTTAATTGCATAAGTTTTTAGTATTAAGGGGTTTTGGGGTTTTGGGGTTTTGGGG